CCCCCCCAAGTGGCGGAACGCCAGGGCCCGGTCGCAATTGCGACCACTGCGACCCTGGTAGTTCCGCCAGTGATGTGAAGACATTTTTTTTAGCAATGAGCACTGAGCACAACATGAATATCTAACTTTCCTTCCTTCTGTGAGCTTTCCCTAACTACTCTATATCTGTTGCAACACACACTGAACAAAGGCTCTTGGGAACACTGACTTTTATTTGGAGGGGACTGGCACATTGGCAAAACCCCATGACTGGCCCTTTCAAGCCACCTAACCACAGTTCAGAGCCCAGAAAGAGCATTATCGGTAATAGTTTGCCAACTTCTCAAACTGTGAAAGGTAGCGTTTGGTTTAAAATCATGATCCACCTGAACTCGAAAGCTCATTCCCATTGCTCAGCAATCTTCCTGTGTGCCACAAGCAGTGGTTCTGATTAAATTTAGTGTGTTTATTGTTAGGCTGTAACCAGCCTTAGTTCTGTTTACCCTTTTCTAGGCTCTGTAGGCCTTCCCTAAGCTCAGTGGTGTGATTGCTTCTGCTTGTTACTGTGAAGGAAGTTCCAATAATCAGTGTGGGGGAAAAAATCATATTATGTGGACCCTATCGACTGCCCTAGCAGGGATACTTAGAGAAAAAGGGTGCAAGCACTGTAGGCTGACAAATCACAGAGCTGTAGTGCAAGCAGGGAACAGAGCAGGGGAACTGAAGGAGGTGGTGGAAGACAGAATAGGCTGGTAGATCAAGGTACTGGGCAGGGTGCTGCAATACTAGGTAGGTGGCATGGGTTCCCCCAGGATGTGGAATCTAAGGGCCAGCCGGGGTTCACCAGAGCTCCCGATGATGGAGATGGGCTTGGCTGCATGCTGATCCCAGATCACAATCCCTAGGTTCACCCAACTCACCTAACAGCCAAGAATGCTTGACAAGGCCAGAGTTCTGGACAGGTTGCAGACACACATACAAGCGACAAAACAAAGGTCAGTGACAGACAGAGGACCAGGACTTCCAGGGACAATCTGAAGACTTGGATTTCCAGGGAATAGACAAAGGATAGGGACAGACAGAAGACTGGAATCTCCAGGGACAAGCCAAAGGTCAGTACACAGAAAAGCTTCAAGGCATTCAGGTTCAATCACAAACAGGGGGCTCAGCTTCTAGCTTAGGAAAGCATTGCTCGGGCAGAGTTCCATGCGCTGCCCTGGGTTTAAAAAGAGACAGCAAGAGGGAGGATCCACAGGATTGGCCAGAATCAGACTGCACTGATTGGCCGAGAAGTTGCATGAGAAACGGCAGGAGAGGTCGGCCGACGCCTAAAGCTGCCAGACTGGTGCAAGAGTGAGTCAGGACTACAAGCAACAGCACAGCCCTGCATGCCTGAAGAACCAGGGGTAAGAGGTCTGTATATACTTGTAGAACTACAAGTAACAGCTCAGCTGCAAGTCTGCAGCTGAACTGTGACAAAATCACTAAATTATGAATATTTGTCTTGCCCAACCAGTCCCTGAGGTCCTTGTTCAGAGGTATGGTTTTGGAAGATAATAAATATTTGGGGCACCTTTCCAAAGTGCTCTTCACCTCCTGGCCTTCTGTCCAGAGAGAATGTATGCCAAGATGGATGTCTACTTGGGCCTTGCCTGAGACATATCCTGAAGGCCCAGGATTTTAGCTGCCTGCCAGAGTAGATATAGCTGGGCTTGCAAAGAATTTTCTTGCTGAAGAGTGTCACAGGTGAGCTTGGTAGACGCTATTGCTAGACGATTGTCTTAGTAACTTCATTCCCATTGAAATCTCAAACAATGTTATCAACTCTCACAAGTTCACCTATGCTATAGGAATGACGAGAGGACCAAATCAGGAGAGCATCCTGCTGCTTTGTAAATGCATTACAGTGAATGACCTTGGTCGCTCTAGGACGAAAATGTGTTACCGACAGGATCACCAGGTGAATATAAATTAAAACGTTTGTTTTGGGGGTTAGACACACTTTGTTTTGGGGGTTAGACACACTCCAAGTGTACCCCTGTGCTCCTCCATATCTCCAAGTGTACCCCTGTGCTCCTCCATATCTCCAAGTGTACCCCTGTGCTCCTCCATATCTCCAAGTGTACCTCTGTGCTCCTCCATATCTCCAAGTGTACCTCTGTGCTCCTCCATATCTCCAACTGTCCCCCTGTGCTCCTCCATATCTCCAACTGTCCCCCTGTGCTCCTCCGAGGGTCGGATTTCCCACAAGGCCAACCAAGGCCCAACCTCGGGCAGCAGGGAGCAGAGGGGCGGCAGGGGTGTGAAATTCCTATTGCCCGACTACCAGGACATGAAGTTCTGGGTGCCGGGCGGGTAGTTGTTTTCTACATTTAGCCATAAGGTAGAAGCAGAAAAGTCATACAAAACAGAAGCAACCAAACAGCATAGAAGTCAAGTAAATACAGTTAATCATTTTAAAACGTATTTTGGAATTCTAGGTATTATATATAATTATTTCAGTCATTAACGAACAGAAACTAAAAACAAGTTCAGTCATGAAGGGGTTAAATTATATACTGGGTTTTAATTTACATACATTTCTATTTGCAACCATCCGTCAAGAACCTAACCCTTGTGTAATTTGAGGGCTACCTGTATTGTACTATAATACATAGATGCACATTTCAATTTGCTGCCTGCAAGGAATGTGTAGAATGAAGCACTGCCTGCCTTAGTTATGTGCATTAATATTTTCAGTTTAAAAACACAAATTATCAAGAGCAAGCAGTTCAAATAAAATAAACTCTACAGAATCACATCCTAAAAGTAAGCAAGACTCGATGTAGCAACAACTGAGCTCTGTGTTCATGTTTTCTTGGAACATTCAGTTAATAAATAACTGTTAAGCAAGCCTTAAAGATCACAAATGTCAGATGCCAGTGTGCGCATCAGCTGGTTGTATTTGATGTTTGATCAATGATAAAAGTAATGTTTGAGGTGAAATGCAAAGTTCATAATTTACAACAAAAATAAATAAATGCCCACACATTCATTTGAGAAAAAATATGCATTTATTATTTTTTGCATTGGAGCCAGGAAAGCATTGCAACCACCATCAATGGATCGTGGGTGCAATGCTTTGACTCCTGCAGACTCTTCCTCCCAGCCTCTGCCCCTACTGATGTATGGACTTTTAATTACAGGGATGGGAGGAAGTGTGAATTATAAGAGAGGTAATGTCACCATACCATAGAGGTAATGAACTCCATTGAGAACTTCAAGTCCCTTTGCCGCAGTGGCAGCCGGGACTTGTAGTCTCTCTGCCTGCCACTGTTTAAACTTGTTCCAGCACCTGACAACCACTTTGGTGGCAAACTTCAGAGTTAAGGTGGGTGGGAACAAGGGTAGTTATTGTGGTAAGGCTTTTTCTTCCCATTCTCAAATTCCTTCTTCCTTCACACAGCCACAGTCAGCCCCCCTATAGTGCCACTACCAGCCCCCATGTAGAACCCCCAGCAGTAACCCCAATCTATGCAAGAATTAGTAAACCCCTGCCTGTTGCTGAGGAACTCGCTGGGGCCACCTACATTATGCCCTCCTCTTCCATTCATTAGATCTTCCAGCGGTTGCCAGCTTCCACAGCTCCATCTCTCAATTTCTGGTCCTTGCAGGCCGCATTGCAGAGAACCCTGTGTATGGAAGCTATCATGTTGTATGTTACATACTCCTGACCACTGCACTCTGTAATTTGTGCTGCACATACTCTTGAGTCTTGACCAAGGTGTTTATTATCTCAAAAGCTGCTGGTTGCTAAGTAGTCCCCAACTGTTGACATGACAGGGTTCAGGGTAGGCTCAGACAAAGTGTTAGCAGTCCATATTCTGGGTGTAGTCAATCATATGTAATGTTAGAGATTCATTATTTTTTTTTAAATGATCTCTTGTGCTGACGTTTATGTGGTCACTGAGACTGTCACTTGCGGCATATGTGTGCAGCATATACTGGAAGCAGGCTCAGACTGTTTTACCAGATGCCTTTCAGCCACACACAGTATTTAGGTAAGAGAGAACAGCTAAACAATCACAGACTTTTTAGGCACCACCAAGACCACGTAAATTTGTATTTAGAAAAAATATTTTATTGTGTACATTTGTTGTGAAAATCACATAATGAAACTAAAATCATCAACATATATACTCTTGTTCATAAAACTATTGACTTATATGCCTCACATGAACCTGCACCTCCTCAATATGAAATATGATAATTAACCTAGTTGTTAATGTATAAATCTATATGCAGATGCCATTAGTATATATCAATGGTAATTATATATATATTTGCATGGGGAGGTGCACGCGTTTCACGGTCACCACCGCTTCTTTAGGAGCTTATGGGCATATACTATAATATAAAAACAAGTATTGTAAATCGTGTTGTTAGTATAACCATTTCCAGCGGAGGACGTACATTTACCTGAACCCGCTGGAAGTGGTTACGTGGTCATGGTGGTGCCTAAAAAGTCAGTTTGTTTTGATGTTCTCTCTTACCTACATATATTAGGATGTGGCACTGTCTGAACCCCTGTACATCCCTTTACACACTCGAGGAGGTATTTATCAAAACTGGAGCAGACAGAAACGGGTGCAGTTGCCCATGGCAACCAATCAGCTTCTCTCAGTTTGCTCAGTTGAGATTTGAAAATTAAAGATAGAAGCTGATTGGTTGCAGTGCAAATCTGCTCCAGATTTTGTCTGCTCCAATTTTTATGAATTCCCCTCACAGTATTTAGTTCAGTGTAAATAATGCTTGGGATCCTGGAACTGGGAGGTTTCAAGGTGATTCTGGAGGAAAGATGAGATCCCTAGTCCTGGGTCAAGGCTTTAGGAGTGGCCAGCACTCGATAATTGCAAAGGTGTGCACAGCCATTAAGAAAAGGATGCTGGCTAGGGGAATGAGCTCCTGCTGGGAAAGAGGAACAGACAGTGTTCAGGTGTCAGGAGAACATCCCCAGAAGTCAGAGAGGAGTCAGGTGGTGAGTGTGCTTGAGGCACACTAAGATAGCCAGGGAGGCTGGGAGAGAACTGGTGTGGCTAGAAGAGCCGTGAGCCTGAGGGGCCACCAGTATCAGCACTTCAAAGAGGACCAGTGGGTCAGAAGTGCTACTGTTTAAAGTGGAAGCCAGGAGGCTGCTATTGTGTTGTTTTGAAGCCTTGCAAGAATGTTATGTTGAACAACCCTTGCGACGGTATCCAAGATGGATATATGAACTTTGTTTTGAATAAAAGTGGGCTACCGAGCCCTTAAACAGAAGATATTGCGAGTAGACTGCATTCTTAAGCACTCACCATATATGCTAATATCCCCAAACATCACAACATAGGTGCGGGTGTGCCAGCAGGAGTGGCAGTGCTGGTGGAGGGAGGGAGAGAGGGTGCGGCGCCGCCCGCCCCGGCCCAGTAATAATATTAATTGTTTCCCCCTTATCGATTCTGCCACTGGCCCGGCTGGCGGCGCCTGGGGCACATGCCCCCTCTAGCTTCAGCACTGCCCCCAACCAGCCCTGTGCCTCCCCTTCCCCCACACTGAGCCACTATTTCCTGGCTTCTCCCCACTTTTTCTATGTCCCGCAGCCTGCTCAGTCCGGGTACTGACGAGATGTCCCGCCTCCTGCAGAGCCTGCACTCTACTGAGAGGCGCGCTTTCCTTGTGACAGCTGCTGCTTGAGTCAGTGAGAGGCAGCCCCGGAGCCTCCGTGCCGCTTCAATGGCGGCCCAGCCTGCATGGCATCAGAGAGGCTCAGGGACCACCAAAATTTTCTCGTGGACCACCAGTTGGCGACCGCTGTCCTAGACAGTGCTGTGCTCATGTAATGATGTACAGGTGCCATGTTGTCCAGGAGTACTGTGAGCTCCAGCCAGCATGATGCTGAGGACTGCACAGGAAGTAGGTTGGATGACACTGGGTGTCATTCATTTTGGAAGGGGTGTAGCAGCCAGGATAAGAAGCGGTGAGTCTGTGGGCAACAGCTCTGGTGTGGAGATGAGTATTGCAGAGTTACCTTTTTATTTTTAAACATCCGGACCACTGAATTTTTACAATTACTTAATAGGTGGAGTTCGGCTTTAAATCATTTGTAGGAGAACCTTCCTGTAAGGTCCTACGTACACTTTGTGCTGGCAGTCTCTTTTTAGATCAGCCCTAATCATTTAAATTCCGCCCCCAAAAATGCAAAACACAATGCCTTATTTTTGACTGTAGATGGTGCTATTGGTTATAGATTATATTATTTGTAAAATAAGCAAGCATCCAAGGTCTGATCAAAGTGATATTGAACCCTAATATACCATTTAAAATGTTGAAGTAAACACTTACAATGTATTCCACTTCTTCATGTACGAGTTCAGGTAGGTAATGACAAAAGTGCTTAGGACTGTGTAGGAAGGAATTACTGTGCTAAATGAATAAATACTAATGTGTTGCTGTTAAAAAGAAGCTAGAAGTTACCCATAATGACAGACGAGTATTCTCTTTTAGGTGGAATCTATTTTGTGCTCATTTATTTTCCTTTGAGTTTTTATGATTATGTCCTACAGAAAATCTGTACCAGCAACACAGACAACAATTAAATGCTGATAGGGGTTTTAGCTTTCCTCTACCTGACAAAAAAAAGAGCTTTATCTGTGTTGCTGTTGTAGATTTTCCTTCACTTCCTGTTTGGTCAAACTGTTATAACCGGGACTGGAACTAAGGGGAATCTCCAACAGGGGTTCTAATTCTTCCCCATGATTAGACACATAGGTTTGAGCCCTGCTGTTTTCTGTTCAGAGGACCCCCCCTTTAGGACTTCTGCTCATAGGTTTCAATAAACTCTAAGGTCCAGTTCACACCTCACTGAGGCGGACTGATCATTTGGGCTCCAAGGGCCCGCGGCCAGGAGAGGGCCCGTCACGCAGAATTGCCAGTCATAGCTTTGTCTAGCTAATGACACCAATCCAAACCCTAATTCTGAACAGGGTCTCCCTGTGGCATAGACTGCTCTGTTTATATCACAAATATGCCCAAGATAACCACCAAAATCTCACAGGAATTTCATGCTAATGCGGGCATGTACGTTTGCAATGAGGCAACAGCGCCTATAGATGTGAAAACTAAAGTGCATACCCAGGGTTACCTAGGTTCTCTTTATTGGCTTTCCAAATCTAATGGAAGTATGATGTAGTGGCACTCAGTTGATGGCTCAGTCATCTTAAAGCCCGGCTCACACCTGCTCGTGGCAGGAACGCACGTCTCGTTCGCACATTTTTGTGCACATTTGTGTGCCACGTTTGCCATGCGTCCCCATTGATTTCAATGGGTTCATATACGTGTAACAAACACAGCAAAAAGCCCCATTGGAGGTGGCATGGCTCTTTAAATTATTAAATAGATTTGGCTGCCGTCAGGTCCCGCTCTTGCTGGGGACCTCACAGCAGCCGAGTCCACCGGTTTACAGCACTGGGCGCACATTTCCACCACTTGCACATCTCCCCAGCTGATCCTCCACATCTGTCCCTGCTGATCCTTCACATCTGCCCCTGCTGATCCTTCACATCTGCCCCTGCTGATTCTCCACATCTTGCCCCTGCTGCGATCCTTCACATCTGCCCTGCTGTAATCCTCTGCATCTGGCCTGCTGCAGTTTCTCCGCATCTGCTCTGTGAGACCTTCTGCATCTGCCCCTATTTAGACCGTTTGCATCATCCCCTGCTGAGACCCTCCACATCTTCCCCTGCTGGGACCCTTCGCATCTGTTCCTGCTTAGACCCTCCGCCCGTGACATTAGGCCGGCACCCTGGAGCTGAGCGGCAGCAGAGTATGTAGCAAATTCATACACTTGTCCGTATTGCTGTATAAAGTATTGCTGGGATTTGTAGTCCTGTATAGCTTATGGTATTCTGCATTGCTGTATCATGTATTTGCTGGGATTTGTAGTCCTCTAGCAGTGGTATTATTCTCCTGCAATTCACCCAGGATAAGTGGTAGAATTAAATTCTTCCAATTAGCTAATTTTCCAAATTGCCAATATTGATGTAGATTTTGAAATTCTTCTACCAATTCCCCTGCAGTTCACTTTTTAGTGAATAGACGTGCTATTTTGAAAATTGTGAAGATAAATCATTTCTGCAACACAAGAATGTATAAGTGGGTGGGCCTTGTGGATGGGTGGGGCTTGTGGCCGGATGTGGCCTGTATATGGACGAAGCAAAAGGGGCCCCATAATCTCGTATTGCCCGGGGGCCCCGGGTTTTGTCAGTCCGCCACTGCACCTCAGCATTTTGCTGCTCGATTGCCTAAGTGCTATAATGCTTAACAAGAGCAATCCCATTGTTTTTTATGTCACTTGTAGCAGAACGCCAATGGCTCGAAAAATGATATTAGCTTCTTTTCAGGCAGAAATGACTATTTAGGCCTCATGGACTTTAGTAGCAATAGTAGTGCCTAAAAAATGCTTGAAAAGTCTAGGGGCCAAAATGCTCAGTTCCGCTCCTGTGCTACATGTAGTGTAGTGTGTAGTGTCAAAACCAAGTGTATTATCCATAGTTAATTTCATTATTCTTTAGCAGTTAAAGCAGTAGTTCTCAAATGGCATGCGTTTAGAGGTCTTTTTACCGACGCATTTCGCTAATGTGCTTCCTCTGGGGACCGTCACTAGGGGCAGGGGTGGAAAAGCATCCTTCTATACAGAGGAACGCAAAAACTCACATGCCCTCCCTCTGGCTGATTTGCAGTGGGGACACCAGGATCATAGGGGACAGAAGACCCAGTCTTTTTGTATTATTGTTTTGTTTTTGGCTGAATGACTTCACCTCCATCCCTTGCCTTTATCAAGAGGAATGTTATGTGCACATTCCTTATGGATACCTGTCTTTGTGTAGTCAACTTCACTCCTGTCATCCTCCCAGTATGCGTGTTTGTGCTTTAATTTTTTTCACACTTAACTGTATTGCTATCACATAGGGGGATAAGAAGCCCCCTATGTAATAGCTAATAGGATGTGACAGGTCCTCTTCATGGAGATATCAGGAGTCTTTCAGATCCCTAATATCACCTAGGGACCCAAAAGAAACTGATGAAGCAGATATCTGCTTCCTGCTTCCTGGCCAATCAGCATCGATCTAGCCAAACATCATGGAGTCGGCATCCCGGCCAATCAGGAAGCTAGGTGGCAGGTAATGACCCGCCTCATGGATTCCTGATTGGTCAGGAAGCCATTTTGATGATGCTTGGCTGGCAAGATGGCTTCCTGGCCAATCAATATCGAGCCAGCTAAACAAGCCTCCCGGCTTCCTGATTGCTTGGGAAGCCGACTCCATGCTTATTGGCTGGGAAGCCGGCTTCCCAGGCAATCAGCATCGAGTCAGCAAAACAGCATGGAGCTGGCTTCCCGGGCAATCAAGAAGTGTCACTACGCGCCAGCCGGCTCCATGCTAGCGGAAGTACCGATATATAAATATTGGTACTCGTACTCAATACCGGAAAACCGGTATCAGTGCATCCCTTATAATAATATCTCATCCTCAACAACGAGAGATACCCATATACATGAGATTGTTGAGGGAGATTACAGTTGGACTTACTATTGGAAATTATCATATTTATAAACTCCTCCTGACCTCTGCAGGCATGGGCTGGGCTGACAATTTAGAATGGATTTTGCTAGATGTGTTCTATTGTTCAGAGAGGTATGACATGATTGTGCTGCAGAGTGCATAAGAATACATGCTTAACCTGCGCAAATCTAAATGTTCATGTAAGAATCATGTAGCAGAGTAATTGGCAGTACCGTCTTCCAAATAATTTCACATCTATAGTCATCATTTCTGGACAGCCTGGTCCTGGTTTACCCTACTCTCTACCACTGCAATTAATGCTCTCTGCCCTCCTTACCACTTACAGTATATGTGCAGCCATCTTCACTTCTCTGCACCCACTGTCTTTGAATCACAAACATTTTTGAATAATATTTTATATTCTCTGTTTTCTCCAAAACAAGAGCAAAAAAAAGTTTGATCAGGGGTACTTTTAAAGCCCCTCTCCGGGCAAAATATGACATGCCCATTTGTCTCTTCCACCCCCCAATGAATCCTGCAGGGTTTAACTTGTGAAGCTAAAGCAATACTCGCCTAACAACTCCCCTTCAGGTGCCTCTTTGCTGCAGATGATCCCTTGCCAGCCGGTCTCCTACCACCCCCTTGTGATGATGTCATTCCTCTCTTCTAGATCCTGAGAGGACCCCTCCACTGGACAGCCAATAAGAAGTGTGAACGTTACACAGGCAGTAACGTGGACACCCAAAGAAGGACCTTGCAAGAACTGTAAACAAAGGGAGAGAGAGAAGACATGGTGCTGAAGAATCAACTGACAGCAGCTTTTGAAAGCAAAATGAACATTTTTATAAATTGAAGAAAGTTTTTTAATATTATTAATACCAATAAACAAGAAATGCAAAAATGAAAAAGTTTGAATTGATTAATAGTGTTTGTAGAAATGATTTTGAATAGAAACAATCCAATACCTATTGCAAAATGTAATAAAAAGTTTCTGTTAAAAAAGAGAAAACCTTCCTAGCATTGCAATGCAAGCTGTTCATCAGCTGCCGCTTTCCTTTTACTTATGCTCTACATGAGTTTCGCAACATGACCCCGCAACATCAGCTTGTTTTGCAGCACCACATGTAGTCTAAAACTACATTTCCCATAAAAGTTTGCTATATATACAGAACTGAAACTTGACAGGTGGAGGCAGAGGCGTATCTGCCGCAAGGCAAACAAGACATTTGACTTTGGTGACACTTTCCAGAGGGGCAGCAAAAAACGCCATCCCCTTACCAGTGAGAAAGACCTGCCATTACTGGTATTGACATCGATACCATTATCGTTACTCGCGAAACTGCCCCCTTCCTAAGCGCCGATACTGATGCTTTACATTTTTAAACACAAGTGGTTGTCCTAAGGTCCTGCACTTGCTGGGGACTTCAGGGCAGCATTCTGGGGACCTTGTGGTGCTACTTACAGTGCCAGTCCGCACATCTCCTCCTCCTCTTTCATCCTCCTGCCTGCCACAATTGCCATGTGGAGACCCCGCCAACCGCACCTGCCATGGGGAGACCCTACCACCCGCACAACCATTATGAGAATGCACACAGCCTTAGTGAGACAACACACAGCCCTGGTGACACCGCACACAGCCCTGGTGACACCACACATGGCCCTGGTGAGACCCCACAGTCTTGGTGACACCACACAGCCTTAGTGACACCGCATACAGCCCTGGTGAGACTGCACAGCCCTAGTGACACTGCACACAGCCCTGGTGAGATCCTACAGCCCTAGTGACACCACGCACAGCCCTGGGGACACCACACATGGCCGTGGTGAACCCGCAAACAACCGTGGTGAGACCCCACAGTCTTGGTGACACCCCACACAGCTCTGGTGAGACCCCACAGCCCTGGTGACATCACACACTGCCCTGGTGAAATGCTGCACAGCCCTGGGGACACTGCACACAGCCCTGGTGACTAGTGAGACTGCACACAGCCCTCCTAAGACCCCGTACTGCCCACCTGAGAGCCTACACAGCCCACATCAGAGCCTACACAGCCCACCTGAGATGCAAAACAGCCACCTAAGAGCTTGCACAGCTTACTTAAGAGCCTGCACAGCTCACCTGAGACCCTGCACAGCCTCCTGAAACCCTGGGGATATCAGACCACCACCGAGCAACACAGACGATGTAGATTTATATTATTCTTTACTGCTTGTGGTATTCTGCATTGCTAATAGCGCAACCTGTCAGAAGCTGGATACAGCATGCGCGTTGTATCCAGCGACTGACAGCCTACGCAAAATATCTTAAACAGGAAGAGGTGGGGCAAATTTAGATTGGGGGTGCCTGAGTTTAGTCTTGCCTAGGGCAGCACATAACCAAAATAAACCACTGGCTGGAGGGGGTTGCAGTAATGCATAACAATGTGGGATAAGAGAGAAAGGCAGAGTTGTGATGTGGCAATGCTGACAATGTCATCATACACATTTGTAGTCCATGAGGAGCCAGACATTAGGCTGGGTAGCAATATGGATGTATATTTAAGACACACACTACAAGAGTGTATTCACGCACCAACAGAAAGAAGCATTGAATGAAGTTTGCTGGTAAGATTAACAGATTATTTATAGGATAAACAAATATAAAATTCAGTGGAAGTGCATTGGATAGCTTGAAAAATTAATAATACACCAAATGTGTAATTTGAGCTCTTGAATGGAGATACATTTTAAGGACTCATTCACACCTGCAGGCATGTGTTATGTTATGGTGTGCATTGTGCACCCACTGTTTACGTTCTTTCTTCTTTCAAACTTTATTGAAACATAACAAACTTTTTTTTCAACTTGTGACATGTTGTAACATGCTGCATTTTTATGCACTGCACCTGTATGAACAGAGCCTTGAGCTGGCTTTAATTAATGCAGATCAACACAGTTCAATGGACATGGCATGGTGTGAATGAGCCCTACTACTTATAACAATAGCGAATTGATAAATCAGGGGGCATGAAGATGCAGAAGCATGGCACCACACCCCTGATTAATTAATAAAAATGGAGCCCGCAGGAATTGCATCTCAGATCATTTTCCCAGCTGGGGGGAGGTGGTTGCTTGTGGACTCCATTGCTGACAGGACCCACATACAACACAAAAAGAGGTAAGCCACTATATATTACACATATTCTGAAGGTTCCTGTCTAATTGAACCCCCCCGGAAAGCCCCTACTGGAACATTGTGCTTACCGTTACCAGCTCTCCTGCTTTACCTTCGCCTTACTATTTCTTCTCTCCCATCCTTCTGCTACCGTGGTTTGGGGGTGTTGGATGATCTAATAGCCATGAACTGTCAGGTGTGAAATTACTAACTCAAAAACAGTTGAGTCAATTATATAAAATGGCTAATATATATATATATATATACATGCTGTCCTCCTGCCTTTCCTGAGTTCTCCGAATATACTGAATGACCAGGTTTTTCCATCAGTGTGTTTTTTTCTTCCCTGATGGCACAGGCATATTCCAAGATAACAATGCCAGAATTGTGAGTGGTTCAGAGTGGTTCAGGAGCATGAGACATAATTCTCACACATGCATCTCACATGCCACCATGTACATGACCTTAACCCTGTTGACAATCATTTGGATGTGATGGAGAAGACTTACACAGTGGCCTGACTCTCACATCACCACTACACGACCTTGGTGAAAAAAATAATGCAACTCTGGTTGTAAATACATTTTGTGACATTGCATAAGCATATCGAAACGATGCCCTGCGAATGCGTGCCGTAATCAAAGCTAAAGGTGGTCCAATTAAATATTGGCGTTTTTTTTTTGGCAAGCAGTGTACTTAGCAGTGTACTTTTTTTCTTAACACATCAAGTTTTTTTTAAGGCGCTTGAACAGCAAATTAGGTGTGCTTATTGTGACTAATATTATTGTAATATTTGGAATGGTCTGGGAGATAAGACATACCATATTTCCCCTATGTTCATCTTCTTTGTACCATTTTTTTCTAATATTTTTTAAATTAGTGAAGAATATCCTACCACTTTTCTAATGTCTGTTGTCTACATATTATTCTTATGACGCACATATGCGAAAAAATATCCCTTTCCCCATGTTATCTTTTTTAAGCCACTCTAACTTAGTTTCCTGCGTTATCCTCAAAATGCATTCTCACAGGTCCAGCAAATCCAGTGTTGTCCTGTTACATTCTGCCACCACACGCCGGATCACGCGCTGCATCTCTTTTACTTACGTCATCAGGGGGCCGGCTGCTTCTTCCGGGTTCTTACAGGCGGCCCCCTGATGATGCACAGTGGCAGTGAACTGTAGAGCAAACTAAGGCCTCCTGGAATGTGGGACATGAGTATCCCAGGAGGCTTCATGGTGACTGAGGTCTCATATTCATCTAATCAAAATTTCCAGAAGTGTCGGGAGGGGGCTCAGTAAAAAAGATAGTTAGATAGATAAATGCCCACGTATGAGAGAGAAAGGGGGTGGAAGTGCATGTGTGGGGAGGATGAAGGTCCAACAAACACACGTTTTTGAAATTGGCAAACATTTAGTAGATCAAGGATGCTGTTCTGTTTTGTGTAAACAGTTCAACATTGTGTAAAATGTCTTTGCTGCTAAAGTTTGAAATTGTGTGCTCAAGGATTTGTAAAATGCATAGACCTGCACAAAAGCACTGTGCAAACAGTGCTATGCAATCATTATGTGGGTGACAGATAGAACAGCAGGACAAACATTGTGTAAAACTTTAGTTTAAACAAATGATACCATAGAGAAATATGCTGCTGAATCAGATGAAACTTACCAGAGTACTGTTACTCATTTTGAGATCGAGAAAGTTAAAAGCACGCTGCTGCTTTAATTAAATCAGATTCAACTGCGGCAGGCAATATCAGGAACACTCAGCATCATCCACTGTGTGTTACTTGTACCTAAGGTGCTGGGATCTCAGAAAGGTCACCTCACAAAGTTCAAGAAATCAAATAATGTTTACTCAGCCAATCAGGAAGACGGGAGGCGGGTCATTACCAACCTCCCGGCTTCCTGATTGGCCGGTAAGCTGCCTCCATGTTCTCTTGTGGCACTGCCGGTCAGAGGAAATCTCCCTCTGACCGGAAGTTCCAGTATCAGGGAAGTTATCATACTTGCATAATACTGCATAATATTGCATAAAGTTGCATAATACTCTGTATCAGCACCAATACCGATACTAGTATCGGTATTGGTGCATCTCTAGTTAAAGCAAAATCAGAGCTGCAATAGCAAACGTACGCTTGATGCAAATTATATGGCGTGTGATTTAGCTAATGGTAAAGTAAAATAATTTGGACACATCATCAAGTCACTTCTTGGTAGCTGAATCTCCCAGTTGCATTCGGAAGGACCTCTAAAGCTCTACCCATACAGAATGTTCTCCCATAATGTTCCAGTCATGGTCTCTGTGCCGCCCCAACAGGGGCATAGAATATGAGATGCATAGCCTCAGTTAAGATTAGCATTGTTATATAGGTTAGAATTTATATAGTGTGATTTGCCTAACTATTTTTTCATAGCTAAATCCATGTGTTATCCTATGCTGCCATCTAGTGGCCTTTTGTTGTAACAAACATGTTTTCTGTTATTCCTCAATGTGACGATGTATTTCCCCCTAGTGTAGCTCCACCCTTCTTCCTGTGTGCAGTACTTCCTGTGTCATGGGCACAGTTGAAAGCCACATGTAACAAGGACACACAGGTAATCTGCACAGTACGTAGGAAAGGCATCATTTTCTGACCGCACAATACTATCACCATTCATCTGTTGTTCCTATCATCTGCTATAACCTGATGTTAAAGAATAAACACCTCTTTTGAATGAATCGGTATTGACGAGTTCAGCTATCTGACGAGGATTGTCCGCAGTGAGTATATCTGCTTATACAGGCCAGGCATAGAGGTCTCAGCAAGGGTTATATTTCGCTATCACAACGATCGGAGTCAGAATAGTCTCTATTCCCTTTTCCTGATATCATGCTAGCTGGAACTATTCAGAGATTTTTCGTTCCAGGTATTATTCCAGATTTTTATTTTAGAACCTACAATTTCAGCATGCAGGACAGGGGATTATTTTTGAAGACCCAGTAACTGATCTCTTCTTGCTTGAATAGTTGATAAAAAACAAAAGATGGGAGATCTCAATATAAATAAAACATTGAAAGATTGGGCCCAAAACTGGAAGTCCATCGCCAAATGTTCTATCAATGTAACTAACAATAAAGCCAAACATAGTCATGATTCGGTGGTGTAAGGTCTCCGCTAAAATAGCTCATATGAACCCTAACTACCCTGACAAGTGCTTTAGATGGTGTACAGCAGGGGTGCCCATAAGGTCGATCGCGATCTACCAGTCGATCGCAAAGCTATTGCTTGTAGATCGTGGGTCGACTCCCGGTCCCACGCTCCGTGTACCCGAATGTGTCAGACGCTAAAGCATCTGACACATTTATCTCTCCCCTCCTGTCTGAAGCGGTCAATAACCTTTCCTACCGCACGTAGCATAGGTGGCCGCCTCTACCCGCACAGACACTGAGACACTTTGTCCGCACACTCGGCCCGCCCCTCCGTCTTCGTCAGCGTCCAATAATCATTGCCTCCCGCACGTAGTGGCATCGGCTGCTCCTCCCTCTCTTTCAGTGTGCACGTTTGACTGGCCCCTCCCCGCCCGTAGCTTTGGACACCTCTGACCCACTCCAGTCTGCAGCATCAAGCACGTTGGGACCACACCTGAAGAGCCAGTAGCAGGTAGGCTATTGGCTTGAGTGGGATCTGACAGTATAGTTAAGGGGCTGCACAGTTAAGACTTCTAAAGCCTCCTTCACACCATCCTCAGTGCGTTCCGGCGCTATTGTGGTCGGAATGCACCGGATCGGATTGCGGCCGGCTCATTTTGTTGTGGGGTGGGAGGGGGTGTGGTGATGTGTTGAAGTGAATGGCACCGCAGCCATGCCCTCCGACCGCAATGAATTGGTAGATCTCGTTTGAAAAGTAGATCTCAATACAAAAAATTGTGGGCACCCCTGGTGTACAGTTATAGATGATATGCTCCACATAAGGTGAATTATCCCGATTACAGGTTTTTGGAATAAAAGCTTTAATTTACTGTACACTCTTTCATAAACGTCTATAGAAAGATCAATGTGCCCTATTATTACATAGCAAAGTGTAACACAACAAACAAACACCCTTCTGCTAATATATAGGTGTATATGTGTGTATGTAACTGTCCTCAGCTGCCAACACTGTCGCCACAAATGTAATTTTGTGCAGTGATAGTGCAGCATGTTTGATTCTAAAAGGAATACAAAGAAAATAAAAAATAGTATGCCATACTGACAATATAGTGGAAAAAAACAAGATTACCTATTAAACACTACAAACGTTTTCTACAAATGTGTCTAAACAACAACAAAGTTCTTCCAACATTCTCAGTGTGAGTCCACAAGAAGTGTTTCCCAAAAACCATCTAATACCACTCATTTATCCTTGCTGGAATCCCTTAAGTGAAGAAATCACCCCTCTTCTTTAAAAATCTATATCTAAAATGTTTAGTATTGTGGTACTTCCATGTCAATGCAATATTTAATGGTCATTACCATTGAAATTGCAGCACAGATTCTTCTTTCTTCCCACATATGATTATATTGGCTATCTATCTATCTATAGTATCAGTTCTTCCGTTTTATTCCACATTGCAGAGGTTCTCTGAGCCTGCATATCATTGCCACCAAGAAGAGGGTGGCCTAAAGGATTACATTTTATAAGGGGAAACCCTAATTTAAAAACCAAATGGCATAGAGCAGGGTTCTCAAACTCAATTCACTTGGGGGCCACTCGACATTTTTTTCTCTCCCATGAGGGCCGCTTTCCAAATTTCATACTTTAAAATAAAATTGAATTATATCCGGTATGGTACTACGGACACTAATATACTCACAATAAGGCCCCATTCATATCTGTAGGTTTAGGTGCGATTAGGGATTCCTGCATCAGGAACTTGCATTTTTCTGAAGCCGGAATCACTAATCTGGCTTTTACAAGCGGCAGCTGTCACTCATTCAAGTTAATGATCAGATGACTGCAGCTCAAACCATGGTCTCCAATATATGTAACATGCAGAATTTAACCTTAATTGGTTTATTAGTAATTACTAAATATGGCATAAGCCAAGTTTCCATTGGTAGTCAAAAATAATATTGAGAATTGGTGAGGTTATCTATGGGTTAAAGAAAGAAAAGGGGTTCTTGCATATTGGGCACATGGTGTATCTAAATATAGGGATATAGAATTTCATATTTATATTTATGGATATTTGTTGTTTAACATTGAGAACATTTTAAACATTTTACTTAGGAGTTTAATAATTGATATGTTACATCATTAGATTTGTATATCAATATATGTTCACTCAGATCTGTTGGAGCCTCTTGGTTGCCGGTGGGACTGTTTATTCTGTGAATAGTTTAGTATATAGGCGGAGGTAGTGGATCAGTGTAGATTCCACCCCCAATCTCTATCTTGATCAATGTACGCTATGTAGTTAAATATGCATTTTATACCCTCAAGCTCTGTACCCCAGAGGAAGTACACATAGGGTGATGTATCACATACGGTGGAGCTTGATGATACATGCATATGCCTGGGATAGAAGTGAGGCTGGTTCGGTCTGTACAATAGAAGAGAAAAAAAAAAAAAACAGGATAAATGCGATTTGTTCGAGCTCATGTCTTATGTGCAAAGGAATGTGAAAGTATGTTTTCTAGTGTTTTTTTATTTTAAATAAAATATGTCAGGTAGCTTTACGCTATGTACTGCTCCATGTGTTTTATAAATGTATCTTATTTTTTTCACTTTATTTTCAATATGGTATTCTAATGTTGTATGGAATTTATAAAAACATTGAATGTGGTTTTCGTTTGGGAAACTCCATTCTTTCCAAAATCGAATGTTGGAATCAAACGAAATTCAGAATGACATTCATCAAGTGTCTGATGGCATTATTGGGTGGTAAAGAAACATCTTTCGTATAAAAGTTTGTTCGGAAATCTACTAGTGTATGGCCAGTTTAACTCTATCTTTACCCTCTCTAGAACATAATGATTTCAAAACATGTAGCCCCCTGATTCCAATCATGTGCACCTTTTTACGCTATGCAGAAACCTAATTAAATCATTGAAATTAAACAAGTTGAAACAATAGTACAATATAATATAATAATTACACTTTATTAAAACAGTGTAAAAAATGCAAAAGAAACCCACACACATACATAGTTACAAACACTGGCGAATCCTTTGAAATGTATGGATTTCTATCTGCACCTAAAATGTTGCCTGAGCTTTTAAAAAAAAAGGCAACCCTACTGAACAAACAACCAAGTCCAAGAGGCAATTAAGAGAGGATCTTATTGCAGTCTTCAAAATCATCAATGGGGACCACAATATTAGGAACAAACTGTTTAATCCCAAAACTGTATTGAGAACTCAGGGACACAACAAGAGGTTAGAAGATAAGGGGTTCAATCTTAGAATTCATAGGGGGTATTTCACTGTGAGAGTAGGGACAGTTTGGAATTCCCTCCTGCAGGCGGTGATATCTGCTGAGTGATAACATTGATCAATTCAAGAAACTTCTGGATGAGTTTCTTCTTTCGCAGAATGTACAGGGATATGTGAAGTGTTAATAAATACAGGTACACCCACATACAGGTTGAACTGAATTGATCCTGGTCTTTATTCAACCTTACATACTATGTCAAAACAAGTTAGTAAATTCTGCGCACTGTGTCAAGATTAAAGGGCACATGCCTGATCAAGTAATTGATTTTTTGCTTAAGATTTCATCCTGACTTTGCAGCTTAGTGTTGGACATTTACCTAATCATTGACTTTTTAGTTTGCTGATGGACACAAAGGGTTAAAGGTGATATAGCATTTGACATGGTAAATCTGTATATAAGTAATTTCCAAAAGTGACTTTTTCATGTGGCCTGGGCCAATTGTAGAGTGATAACTGACCCATCTAATTCCTTCATCGGGGAAGGATGAAGATCACTGTATTACTGTTGCTGTGTGTCCATGTACTCTGCATTAGAGCAGGCAAAAACCGTGGTAATCCAGAACCTGAACTAACCTCCATTGCTTGCAATGACACACAAGCAGAGGCTGCTGCAGATTTGTCTCTGCGGCAGTTAAATGCACATCGGAGGCGTGGGTTTGTCTTTGGGCTCAATCGAATTACCAATGTGCAAGAACAATTTGATGTAAGTATGACAATAATCACTAATAGCCAGGAACATGCTGAACTGTTGTAGCTGGCAACTGATTTGTGTTTTTGCTCTCTTGCATGTATGTTCACGCTGGCACACTGTTATGGCAATCTGCCTTGCACTGAAATTAAAGTAGCAGTCTTTTCTACCTAGCTTTTCGAGAACAACTTGAAGTTTTTAATTGTTCATTTTTACACATATGCATATATTCAATTGTTAGAGTTGAACAACACCATGTTGCTTTACTATAGAATGAACACAATTGACAACACTTCCTCATAAGTTATCCACTAGCTATAGTCTTATGCGTGTACATGCATTAGAGACCAAAGCTTGTTCATGTTTCTTGTTAAATGTAATGAAATAATAATTGATTGCTAGCAGCCTACAAGTTTGTGTTCTCTGTAGTTTACAATTACATCAAAATGAATGAATACACAAGAAATTACCACTCAGGCCCCACTTTAATGTGAATTACCTAATAGTCAAGAAGGGAAAAAATAGAACACTAGATGGAATGGAAAACATATGACTAGTACTTTTTAACACTTTTACAACCAGAGGTCATTAAAACCTGGATGCAGAGGCCACATTTACCCATTTCAGTGTGCATTGATTAACCTCACAATAACTTGGTAACTATTTTGGCTACCAAAATAATTTTACACTTTTTTAGGGACATATAAGGCTTTTAGTAGGCACACATTTTTTTTAAAAAATTCCAAGCTCAGATTTTTTATTGTGTGTTGTCAAATGTACAAATTAGGGATACATAGATACTTTTCGAGTACCAGTGCAGATACTTGGCATTTTCATGAGAACTACAAGGGTTGCAGCGGTTGCAGCTGGGACCTGGCTCTGGCACTCCACCACTAAAACCATTAGTCTGTATTGTTTTAGAAAAACTGTCACATGACAATAAACAAAAATGTATCAGTACTCGTACTTGTAAGTACTTGGTCAAGTACTGGTATCTGTGCATCCCTTTATTTATATTTATAAAAACAAAATCGTACATTAAAACAGAGATGTACTAATCCCATGAGCTCCATGTGCTCCTTACAAATGACAGCGGCCTCCTAATTTTGGAATTTGTCTCTAGTATAGTCTTGGAGCTCAAAAGTATCGGTACATGTATTTGTACTTGTACCGAGTACTGTACTTGGTATCTGTGCAACCCTAGTACAAATATGTTTGTTTAATGTGTACTGTATTTTCTAAAATGTATACTATTTCAAATGTTTTCATAAAATTATTTTCTCCTATTTTTCCCAAGTACAGGGACTCCAGATATGTGTAGATTTTGATTCATATATCAGTGCTGTATGGTTGATAAACAAGTGCATATATTTTAGATTTCTTGATTTTAATTATTTTCTTGTTCAATGGCTGTAACTCCATGATCCGCCTGGGACAAATTTTATGTACAGCAGGACTATTGTAAAAGGGTTAAATAAAAAAATATTGGACTGTGTTGACTTAAAAAATAAATATTTCTAGGGTAAACATTAGACATGTGCGATTCGGTTCGTTCCGAAATTCGTTTTGAACGAATTTTCGGAAATTCGGAGATTCGGATGCATCCGAATTCCGAATTACAGCTAAGACGAATGCAAACGAATCCGAAATTCCCGATTTCCCGAAATTCGTTATTGGACGAATTTCGTTGCACCATTGACACCATTTTACCTCTACAACACATCTAGGCTTAAAGTACAGAGGCTATAGTGTAGCGGTTAGAGCAAAGGATTCCCATTGCTAAGGTCCTATGTTCAAATCCCGGCCAAGTCAACTAATATTTAAAGTTTTTTTTTTTTTCTTTGGTTTTGAATAACAAAACATATCGGCAGAGAATGCCACTTTTGGCTAAATGTCAAAAGTGCAATTTTTCTGCCGATATCGTGGTGCATCCCTACTTTCTCTTCTCCCTGCTGGGCGCTGCTCTGTGTCCCAGCTGGGAGGAGAGAAAGTGTCACAGGCGGCCGAGCACTGCGGGAAGAGAGCATTGTCAGGATGGAGAGCGAGGTACAAACACTTAGTGATCACTGAGTGTTTGTACATAATTGAGGACATAGTATGTTTACTATATCCTCAATTATGAATGAATGGGAAGTGATCTACATCCCCTCCTGTTCATTCATGATTGTGGATATAGTAACCACACTATGTCCTCATGTTATGAATGAACAGGAACACTCAGCATAGAGGATTCCTGTTCACTGATAACAGGGGCTGCAGAAAAGAGATTGAGGACTCTGTGTTCTTAATCTCTTTTTCTATTTTAAAAGGGAAATATCAGGGGTCTGTTTAGACCCCCCCAATATTTCCCCGAAGCCCCTAAGAGTAAAGTAAAAAGTAAAAATAAATACAAATAAAATATTTAAAATATGTAAAGTTAAAAAAAAAAACATTTTCGGTTTTGGCCCAACATTTTTTAAAATTTTGGTGCACCTCTAATATATATACTCACACACACACACACACACACACACACTTTTTTGTATTTGCTACTATTACAAGGGGGGAAAATAAACCCCTATGTGATAGCAGTGACAGGTACTCATTATGGAGATAGCAGGGGTCTCTATGTTTGGACTTTGAGAGCTTTATACCTGGAAGTGCTCAAAACCTTTGGGTTCATTCTCAGCAGGAAAAGATCAGGAACAGAGGGAACTTGTCGAAGGGTACTTGCTGGGAGAACGTTCATATATAGATGGTGGACGAGAAGGGTTAAACAGCATAATGGCCTTTTAAATTTGGATGTTCTATTAAAGATAATAAATAATATTAATAATGATAATAAAAATGTTTTCAGTATTGGCAAAACATTTTTTTCTTCTAAAATTGTGCAATGCACATATGCAATTAACAAAAAAAGTTAACACATCAAGATCATAACTCTGTGAACTTCATCACAATATTAACATTCAACAAATATTGGCATATACTGCATACTTAGGTTTTTTTCAGTGTTTATAAGCTATTTTAAACTGGAACTGACAGCCCTGTTACTATACTTACGGGCTTATTTAATAAAGCAGTGTACACAGCTAAAATATTATACAAATTGAAGCACACAATGAAAGTATGAGTCTTCAGTTAGATTTCAATATTTACCACTGGATTTTTATTGGTTGCTTTGCTTATTGGTATTGTTGTCCACTGGTGGTTCAAAGTGAATGTGCACTATTTTTGTTATTTCCTCAACATTAGCTAATTTCACAAAATCTGTAAAGAGTAAGATCCAGTATTAAATCACTGCTAACGTTACTAAGTGATAATCCAGAAATATTGATCATGTGTTTAAAATTTCGGCGATTGACGAGTTAAAAATTGTCCATGTTTTGAATGTCAAGTGAAAAGTGACTGATCTTGAATGGCTGATATGGATATCTGGACTTTGGGTTTTAAATACTTAGAAAGCAGGTCAGGCAAGTAACTTTGTACCATGCTAGATGATTGACAGAGCCTGAAGATGTATTCAAGAGGCCCTTTGCCCCTTTTGTTTAGTGTTTACTAAAGGGAAATGGGCTGTTCACTTTGCAAGGGAATTTTCATTTTGAAAGGGAATTTTGCCTTAGCGTAGTAAATGGGGTTAAGCTCTGCTGACTTCAAAAAACACAGCTTTATTTAAATTTCTTTGTTCCTATGATTGGGTATTCTTTGAACAGTACATTTTTACCACATTCACTAAGGTAAGAAGAAATTCTCTTGCAAAATGAACAGCCTATTTGCCTTTAGTAAATCAACTCTTAAGTATTAACATCTGACCCTTGTGCATAATTGGAATACCCTTATAGGCTTAAATGCCAGGGAGTTTTCTACCATCATGTGATCTGAAGAAGCTACTTGGATGAGTGGATTCAGGAATATTCACTTCACATTTTACAAACACATTAACAATTTTATGTTTGTAAATCTGGGGATATAATTATAATAGCCTATAGAATAGAAGGTTCTTCCAAAAGGTTGAGTTGTTACACATAGTAGCCAATCAGCAGAAAAACTTGGGAACTATTCACATGAATTTCATGATTTTATCTTAGAGCAGTTTATATTAGGCAGGACAGTGAATGTGTTCTGGTTGCTTGTTGTGGGTTATTGTATTTTCCACATTGTTCTATACCTTGTTCAGCAATCCCCTTTTCAAAATTTCACTCTTGGCTGATATACCACCACTAATATCTTCTTAGCTGAGTCCCTTAATTGTTTCTTGCCTCATAAATGTCAAGGGTATAAATTGTTACTATTGTAAATACTGAATCTGTGGATTATAGATTTTTGCCCAAGGCTTTACTATACGGTATTTCAAGTCTAAGATTTTCTGATAAGTAAATAGATAGTAAGTGAGAGCACGGGCCTTTCAGTGTTTTAAAAGTAGCTATCAACTTTTAGGAAAAAATAATTTTGCCTTCCATTTTTTAAACACAATGCCATATATAATGTGCAGCAAAGACCCAATGAAATGTTACTTTTGCCCCACAGGAGGAAAATGGATCTGTATTTTACCTTACACTGGATGTGTTGGAAACAGACTGTCATGTCCTGAGCCGCAAACTGTGGAATGACTGCCAACCCAAGCCCAGTTATGAGGCTGTAAGTACATCAGACAGTTACAAAAATGTTGCTTATTCTGTGAAGAAGTGATTTGTAAACCAAAGTGGGTTGGTAGCTACAAATTGTTTTAGTCCTAGCCCTAGTCTACCAGGAATTGCATATACATGGGCCACAAACAACTCACCTGACTAATATATGATTGACGAAGACTGGATATCCTTTTTGCTGGATGAAAAACATTTTAATACCACAACTCGGTCATTTACGAGGATATTGTCATTGTACAACTGTATCTTTTATCTAATCATATTCCAACAGGTCTATTTAGAAATGTATTCACACAAGATTCACATAACTTGCCCACGATTAACACATTGAATAGGATTGGAAAATGTGGGAAAACTGTGTGAACCCTGTGGGAAAACATATTAATAGACCCCTAAATATTCTTTGTGGTCAAAGCCTTAGGTCAGAATAGCAATATCTAATGAAGATCAGTCCCTATGACATACTGATCAAGAGGTTGCATTTGTGCAGTATGAATAGAGGGTTTTTGACATGATGCCACACTACGATAACATCAAATACATGGTTGTTGAAAAATATATAGTTTTATTCAGGGTGGAACACTCCAGCTTCCTGGGATTTTAAAATGGAAGAACAAACAAGAGCCTAGATCTAGTACATTAAAAACTGTAAAATCAAAATGGCAACTCGTGCCAATGAAGTAGAAACAGCTAAAGCCCACATGCTGTGTTCAGTGCTGGGGCTTTGGTGTAGTTATTGCCGCTGTCAGAGTTCCTCCTATAGAGGACCAGGAAGCGCAAGATACAGTCTACTGAGCACACCTCTGGACGGAAGGTGCCTCAGCTTTCACTTGTGTTACTATGGCATTGGCGATGTACAGCAAATATGCTGAGCTAAGCTGCTATACATATTAAAAAGGCTAAGTAATGCTCTTAAAAAACATTTTGCTACAGTATATTCATTTTGTGTAGAATTAAATAAAAGTAAACAGTAAAAACAGAATATTGAAAAAACCCTACTTACAAAAGGAAGATACTAAGTTTGACAGCTATATGGGGACATAAGTTATAGATACTGGTACACACTGACAGACACTAAATGATATATTGCAACAAATGAAGTTTACATAAGGGGAAATTATGGATTACGTATATCCCCTCTGTATGTATCCATTTGGTTTTTATATTACTATTGTATATAGCTCACATATCTTTTGTTATTACAGATAATTCGTCATTTCCCCTTTTGCAAACTCCAAATGTCACAATGTATAATTTCATGTCCGTCAGTGTGTATCTATAACTTACTTCCCCATCTAGTGGCCAAATCCAGTATCTTCTTTTTGTTAGTAGTTTTTTTTATATATTTAAATGCACATTTTATTTAGTGTAGCAAATTCTTATTTAAGAGCATTAATTGGCTTTATTAAACGTACCGATTTGAATGCACTAGGTCTACATGCCCTTGTTTGTTTTTCTATTGCTACAGTCTGTGGATACCCTTCACTATCAGGAGTTGCGGGATCATTTGTGCTGAAATTGGTGGATTTCCGTTCCTATGTTCTTATTTGCTGCAGATTCCTTATTTTGTTGTGGACATTAAATACACAAGTACTGTGTGCTTTTACCTATTTTTTTACCCTGGGCTTTAGAAGCTGAATAGAAAAAAATACATGGATAGGAATCCATTCAGAAAAACACAAAATCCTTTTATATAATGATTGGCAATATGAATCTAAAATGCATATATTATAACAAAGCCCAGTATAGATACTGACTACTACTACACAATCTACATGGGTTTGTTTAGCACACAATAGGATTGGGGGACTGGAGATCTGTTTTGGGAAACTGGTTGTTTAATGTGTGAACTGGTAAAGGGATCCCTCTGCCTGTAAAATGGTGAGTGGTCCAAGGTATGCATTTACTAATGTGTTACATGCCAGGCGCATAGTAAATATCCACTCAGCAGTTTTGTCCCCAGGTTTGTCGAATACTGTTATTTTACTTAAATACAGATACGGTATATACTAATCTGTTATTTTTAATATGTCATGTCTAATATACTAATATGTCATTTTTTTAAAGGTTTTTGGAGAGTGCAAGGTGACATTTCAACTTAGCAAACCAAAAAGGATTGCTCACCTCCATAATTACGACTGCGTTTTGACTCCAGGTAAAGTAAAAGGTCATACTGGAATATCAAATATATATAATAATAATCACATGTTACAAAATTCCTGATTGCATCAAGATGACCCTCACATCTGGAACTTTAACAGAAATTGGTAGCCCATTTCCCAGTTTTTATGGACACAGAGGTAAAGCATTACTTTGTGGATTGCAAGCAGTAGACTTTTATACCTGTCTTTGCTTTTGATAGAAGTCTCACATGTTTAGAAACAGCAATACAAGACTTTTATTCACACATGCAATAATAAAATATAGACATTTAGGGTGTGATTTACTAACCTAAACACACGCACGCACCAGGTGCGTGTGATTTTTACACAGCAAAGCGTATTTATCAACCAAAAAGTCTCTATAAGCATATTTCCACTAATGCCATATATGGAAAAATCATGCACATGATGCATATATAATGCTGCTTCACAGTTTAGACAAAAATGGTTAGCTCATGCATTTACATTCCTGCATTCATCAACGCAAGCAACACAATGTAGAGCTAATTTACACAACATCACCTTGCAATTCAGGGCAGGGCTTTGCACAACACACCTGCTGGGTGTGTACACACTACAAAGGTGTTTAGATTCCACCCATAGATCATGCTGGGAGGGAACACACTACAGAGGTGTATACATGTTTGTGGTGTGTTTATAAGGTTAGTAAATCAACCCCTTAAAGTCCGTCAATAGCAAAACATATTTGCACTAGACCTCCTTAACTCAAATTACTTTTAGTTAAGCTTCTAACATTAAAAACAAACCCCAGAGGTAGTACAGCCAATACAATATAACAATAAATACATGTTTCTTTAGACGCAATGGTCATATTATATACTGTAAGCTACCTACATTTCTTCCTATTAGCATGGAGCTAGAAATCTCCATTAAGATATATTCTACCACATAGGCATAACTTTCCATGACAAAGCCTAGCATTTCTTTATTTACCACACTAACAGGCTTAGGTACTGGAACATGCTATAGACTATAATGGATTGTTTAGCTAAGTAAACACAATCTGACCACTCTAAAGCTGGCCATACACCTATAGAGTGCAACAGATTCCTCCATCTATGCTAAACTGTGTGGATGAAGGAATCTCCCACTGGGCCAAGCTTCAGTAACTTGCTAGTTGGCCCCGCTGGCTCTCAAAACACCTGAACATTGCCTGCATCCAATCAGATTGTTCAGGTATTTTTAGAGCCAGCGAGGCCGACTAGCAAGGTACTGAAGCTTGGCCCAGTGGGAGATTCCTCCATCCACACAGTGTAGCGTAGATGGAGGAATCTGCTTCACCTTTTCCATATGATCACAGAAAATCTGCAGATAATCTATAGGTGTATGACCAGCTTTAGACTGGCAGTGACCGGGGGTTGTCATCATCATCATCATCATTATGTGTTATGCATTCTGCCCATTATTGATTATATGTGTAATTGTTTATATTTATATATCTATTAATATATGTGTAATTTGCATATTTAAACTTAGTTAGGTTTACTTTTAGGGCATTAGGAGTGCAGTCTTCAAAATGTTGGTTGTGGCCATTAATAAATGTGATGTACGGTGGGCAGATTTGTTTGTGGGAATTTTCATGTCTTAAATTTTATTTCACAATTCTAAAAGTAAACAATTTAAATCATCTTGTTCAAAACATTTACTCTTTTTGGGACATATTATTGCAAGATGTATGCATCCACTTTGCACACATTTTGTATAAATGTCATATTTCACAAACTACTTTCCATGATTTCTTACTGAAAGGACTCAATTGTCTTGCCAACAATCTTTGACTTTGCAAAGCTTGCTGAATGACTTAACTCAGGTCAATGTCAATGAGTCTTAAATGAGCCTTAGACACTTATATGGCATTTGGGAATCTTTTGCTTTTAAAGTGTATTTAAACCCTAGCAATAAACATCTCAAAGACCAGCTTCACATATATGCTTAATGTGCATTGCTGCAACACACAGTCCACAGTGTGATGCTGTGGGGGTGATTTACTAACCTAAACACACGCACGCACTAGGTGCGTGTGATTTTTACACAGCAAAACGTATTTATCAACCAAAAAGTCTCTAAAAGCATATTTCCACTAATGCCATATATGGAAAAATCATGCACATGATGCATATATAATGCTGCTTCACAGTTTAGACAAAAATGGTTAGCTCATGCATTTACATTCCTGCATTCATCAACGCAAGCAACACAACATAGAGCTAATTTACACAACATCACCTTGCAAATTCATGCAGGGCTTTGCACAACACACCTGCAGGGTGTGTACACACTACAAAGGTGTTTAGATTCCACCCATAGACCATGCTGGGAGGGAACACACTACAGAGGTGTATACATGTTTGTGGTGTGTTTATAAGGTTAGTAAATCAACCCCTGTGACTCATTTTGACTGGCACTCCAACACACTAAACCAATGCAGCTTTAAGGCACCTTTGGTGTAGTGCACTACAATGTTGCATAACCGCTGTGGTAAAAAAAGTGCAGGCACATTTTTAATTCCATTGTGGTGCTTTGGTAACCCATTTAAATGAATAAGTTTCTTTAATGCAAGACATGTTGAAAGGCACAGCATCGGACTGCAGAATTGTAAATGAGCCATTGTTTGCTCCCTTTCAGTCTGTTAATTATAACATTGAAAAGATTTTTATAAATGTTGATAACTGAAAAAAAAATACCTGTTGATCCTACCAGAAATCTACAGTTGCCCTGTGTTCTCTGCCCTTGTTATCTCAAGGAGTCTGATCAACCCGGGTAGTTCCGAACACCTCCTTCAATGTATTGGAGATGAGAAGAGGGGAGGTGCTCTGTAGTTGAGCAAAACATAGATGAGCATGGCTGACAGCATTCCTTTCAAATTTCAGCTCAGCAAAGGTGCTGTGTTTTCAGCCCAGAACAGGCAATTAGGAGCTGATTGCATTTCTGGCCAAATCAGCAGGTATTTTTTCAGTACTTGAAGCATCTTTAAAGTCATAAAACAATAGGTAAATGTGCGTACATTTTTTTTTATTGTAACCTGACATACATTTTAATGAATTTGTCTCCAAATAAACCTAACAAGGCATTCTGAAAGCTTTACAAACTCCTACATAACAACACTATTTGTATATAGTTTTTTTTTTTTTACACATTTCTATTTACCGCACTTGTGAACTTAATTTCACAGTTAATGAGTTAATTTAATTGCTGTTATTCTTGTTACCATTATATTTGAATGCAGTTTAAATGGATTTTCAAAGTAGAACTTCATATGATTGAAATTATGTTTTTTTATCTGCCAACCAGCTGTTCCAGGGAGGCGTATTGGCTGTGGTGGCTGTCTTTTCCCCCAGCCACTCAATGACACCAACTTTGTTGAAGTTGCAAAGAATAGTCTGGGGAAATTCAACAGTGAGAGCAACAACATCAAATACTTCCTTCTTGGAAATATTACAAAGGCAGCAAGCCAGGTAAGGAATAGGAGGTTTTTTTAAGACAGTAATTCAACAATCAATCCTTGTAGCATCATTTGGAATGTGGAATTAAAAAATAATTTTCACCACTACCTGTGTATCAACTTGACTTGATTTCTGATCCACAGTTGTCAGAAGTAGGTTAGGGTTATAGATCTTGACAACCTTTATTTATTTAAAATGCAGGACAAGCAATGTTCAAAAAAACACTTTACGCCTTTCATTAAATTATAATTTAAAAGGTAATGTATAGTTTAGTTTCAGTGAGCACATAGTATATATTTATATACTGTATGTATAACCCCAATTCCAAAAAAGCTGGGATACTGTATAAAATCTACATAAACATAGAATACAATGACCTGCAAATCTCATAAACCCATATTTTATTCACAATAGAAAATAATATATAATAAATAATATAATAAACATATCAAATGTTTAAACTGAGAAAATGTACCTTTTAAGAAAAAAATAAGGTCATTTTTAAATTAATGGCAACAACACGCCTCAAAAAAGTTGGGACAGGGCAACAAACAGCTGGCAAAGTAAGTGGTACTAACAAGGAAGAGCTGGAAAAACATTTTGCAACTAGTTAGGTTAATTGGCAACAGATCAGTTTCATGACTGGGTAAGAAAAGAGCATATAATTAGAGAGTCAGAGTGTCTCAGATGTAGAGATGGGCAGAGGTACACCAATCTGTGAAAAGCTGCGTCTACAAATTGTCGAACAGTTTTAGAATAATGTTCCTCAATGTAAAATTGCAAAGACTTTAAATGCATCATCATCTACAGCAGGGGTAAAAATGTCAAGTCCTGAGCTACTAGCCAGGCCTTAAGAGTTACTCACCACCAGTTGCCCACCTAACCCCTACCCTGCCCCAGCCTTAACTCCGCCCCTAAACACACCCTCTTAAATAATCTTATAAATTACGCTGTTACATGTTTTATGCAGAATAAAGTTACAAAAATAAATGTTAACAAGAACTTTAACAATATTACCATAAGCTCCCTGCCCCCCCACATATAAAATAATACACTCCCCCCCTGTTCCCTGCCCCCCCACATATAAAATAATACACTTTCTCCCCTGTTCCTTGCCCCCCACATACAAAATAATATACTCTCCCTGTTACCTGCCCCGACATATAAAATAATAATCTCCCCCCTGTTACGTGCCCCCCCACACATTAAAATAATACAGTATCCCCCCTGTTACCTGCCCCCCCAGATTTCTTATTTCTGTCTTTTGGAAATTCGGATGCATCCGAATGTCCAAATTTACAGAAATTCGTACAAATTTCAATTCTTAAAGAAACAAATTGCACATGTCTAGCCTACAGTTCTCTTTTAACTATGTCTCAATGAAACAAATTTTTTTTTACCAGTGGGTATGTCCATGTGATAAGCAGTGGTGGCAATACGAACCAAAAAAGCACTAATCTTTATTACAGATGAATTTAGGATAACAGATTTTAATAAATAACTTTCACTGTACCTAATTAAATTACTGGATTTGTTCATGTTGAAAATTTCTAGGTAGTTGCCGGAAGAGCCTATCATGTGGAATACACCATTCATGAATCTTCCTGTAACAAATCAACTGAGGACCCTTCCCAATGTGAGCCTCTGAATTGTGAATTTGCAGTAAGTACTAAGTAACAAATGCATAGAATCTTACAGAAGAACTTCAGACTGAACCACAAGACAATATATATATCGGCATGATCATCCTGTAAACATATTGTATGTGCAATAATATTGTAGTAAAAATGCATTGCACAAGCAGGGATTTGCTTCATTCCTTGACCTGTATGCTTCCTTGGCAAACCCAACAGTCCATAGGCCTGTTCAAGTGATAACTTCAGTGACTCGTATATTACGTAGGTATGGTAAACGTGTTATTTTGCTTGCCACGGGCAAAGCACAGGTTCATATGAAAGTCCTCTGGCCACCTGAAAAATATGTTTTCAGTGCCTCCCACACTCCAAGGGTCAAATGCTCTTTAGGTCTATGGGTTGAAGAATAAGGTATAATTCCTACCTTATTCCTCACTCGGGTAAGCTTCCTCTATCTGTGTGACCGGTCCCACAAAGCCTCTTCTCTAATGCGTTCCTGGCTGTGCTTGCACACTGGTGTCGTCACATGCAGTACAGGACCAAAAGCCCTTTATTGTACCTGAAGATAACGGGAAGCTGCCCCCAGCCCAGTGCGTCAGAGTAGAGTGCCAAATCCTGCCAGAGCGAGGAGTAATACATCCTTTACCGTATTTTGCGCTCATTAAGGCTCACCTGCCCATAAGACACAGTCTGTGTAGTGTGTAGTTCTTGACAGCTGAGACAGGTGGCGCTGTGATTACAGCGCCACAGTCTCAGTGATCACACAGAGCATCCTTTTCCTCTAGCACAGGTTTTTTTTATTGGTGCTTCAGGTCATATACTTACTATATACAAACACCATCGATTAGCTGAAGGGGATATTTACGTCTGCGGGGAGCAAGAAATGCCAGTTTTCTTTTTTGTATGGTTTAGGCCTGCCGCCTAGGAGATGCAAATGAGGAGGGGGAGTCACACAGGCAAACTGCAAATTTCAATCTTTTCATATCTCAGTGACTGTTAAAGCCATGTTGTCCTCAAAACATTAAGGGCCAACTAACACTTTTGCATTGTAGTAACACACTAGAAATGTTTACCACAACATTTAAAAGAGATGATCATCCACCAGAAAATGCAATGTACAGCATATGCCTCTTTATTTTATTGAACACAATTTGTAGATTAAACCTTGTATTGGGATATACTAAAATGTTTGTTATTTGCATACTAAAAGATATACATTATCTTCCCTCAGCACACTGGTTACTGCAAGTCTTTTGCTGTAGCACACTGGAGCGCACCAGGTGACAAGCAAGTGAAAACGGTCTCCTGTGATATATTTGAACCAGAGGTATGAGATATAACTATTATTTCAATTAATTACCATGCAAATAACATCTTATTTATTATGGCAATTGGCATAAATAAAAGAAATGATACAACTGGAATCAAAAGAGAACCTGTCGTGACTGGGATCATGGAAGAACATAGATTCAGAAGTAGTTCTGATGTGAAGAAAGTGGGCTCCTGGTATAAAGGAGGGACTCTGATGTGAAGGGCGAACCCTTTTTCTGTGTTTTTCTATGGGGCCCCCCCTTGAAATTTATATCAGACCCCTCTCTGGGATAAGGGTCTGGTATGGATTTTGGACGGCCACATGTTGTTTTGTACAATTTATTTAGTTTTACTTTTTAGACCGGGGTGCCTAAAGCTATTGCTTTCTTTAAAGGGTGACTTTACTACAAAAAGGTTGAGAAACACTGGAATTGTATATGCTGGGAATTTACAACTCCTTTTAATCACTCCATCCCCCACCCACCGCTTATATGCAACTTCCATTCACTTCCTATTGCCGTTTGACTGTGTAAGTTAACTAAAATAATGGTACTTCCTGGTATGTGGTGCCGTGTGACTCGCTTTCCTTTCTCCTGTAATGCAGTTGCTAGCCCTGTCGCATAAACAGTCCTTAGCCTTGAGTAAGTGCTGACTAGACCCATTGGTGCTTATACAATGCTTGTTGAGCATAACCACTGTGGGAAAGAAGGTAGGATGGAGGATGGCCAAGGGTCAGGGGCGTATTTACCACAAGACAAACTAGGCGTTTGCCTAGGGCGGCACCTTCCTGGGGGGTGGCCGTAGGCAAACGCCTATGTTGTGAAGAGGATGGGCGAGCCGGAGCCCGTCTGTGTGTAGGAGTAAAGGGGGGTGATAGTAAGGTGCCGGGGGCGGCCTAAGCTTGGCTTGCCTAGGGCAGCCAAAAACATAGATACGCCACTGCCAAGGGTAGGTTAGTAATTAACAAAACCTGTTGCTTTGCCTTTGCTTTGAAAAATAAAAAAAACCCAGGATCATTTGGATAAGTAAACAACTGTTATAAAACCCACATAATTCCAGTCACACAGGAAAGTGTTAAACACCTCTATTGATTTTAAAGTGGAACTGAAGCTAAAACATTTTTTTTACTTTTGGATAAAGTGGAGAGGGATTAGAACACCTGTCAAGTTTGTACTACTGTCTGTGTCGCTGTTAGGGAGATCCACCCTCTTACGTGTGTCCTGGTGACTGAGAGTGACAGAAATTCCACATTTTGAGTTGTCACTAGAACAGAAATAAGGGGAAATCTTTCAATAGTTCTGGTGACCCTGGTGAGAACCAGAAATTTCCCTCACTTTGTATAGATTTCTTCTCCCTTCAAGTTGTTGCTATGGGACAGAAAATGAAAGGATATCTCCCCAATGGGACACAAATGGCATAAAAACTGACAGGGGTTATAGCTCTCTCTACTCTATTCACAATATAAAAAGTGTGACTTTAGTTAGAGGAAATCTGTCACAAACCACAATTCCTATATTATATTATATCAGTGACTAACACCAGGTTGTATAATAGTTTCATAGCACTGAACCTGATCAACTTTGATGATAATAATGGGTAAAACGTAGAACAAGAGTCTAGTACAATGAACTAGTATGGTGTCAAAGTATGTTAGAGAATGGCAACTTCAGAGGTCTATCACACCTGTGTTTAGCATTGTGATAGATTTCCTTTAAAAAGAATTCTAAATGCATGTCCATGTCAGGAAATCATAACTCGTTTTGACTGTGTAGAGCCATCTCAGAAAAGCAGCATACATACCTGTTTGTAGGTAACATGTATATTTTTTAATATTTAGGCTGCTATTGTTGAGGAGCAAAATCATGAGGTTGGGCATGATGAAGGTAAACCAGACAGTGGTAAAAAGGATCATCACCATGGAAAGCGTAAAGGGAAGAAGCATGGTCATAAACATGGACATGACCATAAGCACCACCATAAGCATGACCATGATCAAAGTGGGAGCCATGAGCATGAACACGAGCATAACCATGAGCATCTTCACAGCCATGAGCATCATCATACCCCTGGCCATGGTCCACAATCAGAAACACCCAAAACAACAGGTACTGTTAACTATCTTACTGGAGATGAAACCGCCACTGCTTCTGGGGCAGAAGACAAGAAAGGAAAAGGAGGAAAACCACCCAGAAGAGGATTTTTTACTGGCACAAGGAACCCACAGAAATCATTCATTAGAACTTTTCCTGACACAGCCTCAACATCAGATCAGTGTCCTGGACAGTCCAAGAACTCGCCAGTTAAAGAAGATATTCCTATTATAGAAGCACCACAGGATCCAACTAAAATCCCAAAATAGAGACATAACAGGCGATTTGTTTAAACAGTTCTATAATGTTTATGTTTTTGTATAACCTAGTTTGTCTAACATTTGGATTGAAATAAATAGACACAGGATTGCCTCAAATAATAATGCCGCTTGCTTTTTATTTAATGGAAAATATGTATACCCTTTTCTTTTCTTCATTCCAATGGACTAAATCTTGTGATTCAGATTGTGCAGTTAGAAAAAGTTCAACCATTACTACAAAAAAACACAAACCCTATGTGATCCAGAGGATCCTAGAGCTCATGGAATATATCTCACTATTAATATACCGTATTTTTCGTTCCATAAGACGCACTTTTCCCCCCCCAAAAGGCGGGCAAAAATGCCTGTGTGTCTTATGGAGCGAATGTGTGAGAGCTGAGGCGGCGGGGCTGACAGTGTACCCAGGGGTGTGGAATCTCTATCGCCAGACGTCCGGGACATGCAGTTTCGGGTGCCGGGCGAGTAGTTCTTTTGTACATTTAGCCCTGCTTCTGACAAGCAGAGCCAAATGTATAGTGTGGAGCCGCTGCTCATTTTCATACAAGTGATCTGATTAGATCACTTGTATAAAAGGAGCAGCGGCGATCCACCCTCCCCCCCCCGGGGTTTTCGGGGTCCCTCGCTCCTCTGGGGGACCCGTGACTTTGATCGAAAAAAGATTTAACTCTGATCCCATACCATCATACTAGACTTGTGCGCCGTCAAAAAATTTGTTCCATTTCGTTTCGTTCCGTTTCGGAATATCCGTTATTTCGTAATTCGTGTCCGAAACTCAATTCGAAATACGAATTTTTGTTAGTTTCAGCACATTTTCGTAACTGTACGAACATTCGTTATGATGAAGTTAAAAAGCAAAAATACCTTTGTTAATATTGGAGTCGATGTGGTAGTTGTTTTTTTATCCGAAATACAAATTCCGGACCCGAATTTCGTATTTCGGATAAAAAAAAAACTACCATCAACTCCAATATAAATGTACTTTGCTTTTTAACTTCAATATAACAAATGTTCGTAACGGAACGAAATTCCGTCAACTGAATTTCGTATTTCCTGCCTGTATTGTAATGCAACTCTCAGCAGCAGAAGAGAAAACCTCTGATTGGTCAACCAAACGAAATACGAATTCCGTTAACGGATTCCGGATCCGAATTTCGTGTTTCGGATAAAAAAAACCCATCAACTCCAGTATATTAACAAATGTACTTTGCTTTTTAACTTCAATATAACAAATGTTCGTAACGGAACGAAATTCCGTCAACTGAATTTCGTATTTCCTGCCTGTATTGTAATGCAACTCTTAGCAGCAGAAGAGAAAACCTCTGAATTGTCAACCAAACGAAATATGAATTCCGTTAACGGATTCCGGATCCGAATTTTGTATTTCGGATAAAAAAAACTACCATCAACTCCAATATAAATGTACTTTGCTTTTTAACTTCAATATAACGAATGTTCGTAACGGAACGAAATTCCGTCAACGGAATTTTGTATTTCCTGCCTGTGTATTGTAATGCAACTCTCAGCAGCAGCGCATCCGTATTTTGGATTAAAAAAAAATCTGGTCATGTTGTTCAACCTCATTTACAGGGGTAATATTAGTTCCTGTTTCAAAGAAATTCGGATCCGAAATTCGTTAACGGAATTTCTTATTTCGGATATAATTCGGAAACTGCAATTCAGATTTCGGATGCTTCAGAATTTACGAATTTCAGGACAATTCGTACGAATTTCGATTCGTAACGAAACAAATCGCACATGTCTACATCATACCCAGGGCTGGATTTCCCTCAATAGAGTCTGTAGACACACAACTGTTGACACCCATCTTCCGGCATCACATCTTTTACACTTTTACATGTTTTCACAGTTCTAACCTGGCCTAGAATATTGTGACACTGTTTAAATGAACTTATATAAGATGACTATTTTTACTCAATGCTTGGACAATAACTTTATAAGGAAAATCCACCTGTTTGCCTCTGCCATCTATAAACACATGCCTATGGTGCCTTATGGTAGGTCTAAACCTGTTGGTAAACCTTGCCTAGAATGCCTTTTAGATCCGTTCACTTGCTTCTTGTCCCTTTTGCTGCCTGGCTCTGCTCACCTCTTTTGCCCTCAGGCCCCATGCAGACGGGAATTAAACTCATGCCTCTGGGTGCATTTGAAGCTCATTTCTAAATGCAACTGAAAGAATGTAATGCTTTTCTATGGCTGAATGTACAGCTAGACATAAAGCAGCATCTGGGTGCATTCAGTCTAGCTGTGTTTACACAAACAAATGTTTTATGCACCCTTGGGCCCTTTAGTTTGGTTTCATATGGCTAAATGCATGTAAACTTGGCTAAACCAGGGACATCAAAACACAGCAAAAAGGGAAGCAGATAACCTCTCCCGTTTTTAACTCAAGACACAAGTGTGCCAATTTTTTGCTATTTCCCTTGTTTTCCATGTTTCACAATTTTTTACTTACAGCTTTGAAAGCTTGTAATATACCCACCAAACCATACATTGCCTGAAAGCACTGGAGTAGTTGAATAAAACAATGGTGCTGATAATTTTGTACATCCGCATTAGTAGTGAAATGTTTATCAGTATATCATGTTCTATAAAGATACACTAAAATCCTTATTAGTGCACATAAACACAAC